AGAGAGAGAGAGAGAGAGAGAGAGAGAGAGTCAAATAATACGAAGGATCAATGAAACCAACAGCTGGTTCTTTGAAAAGATAAAATTGGAAAACGTTTAGTCAGACTCAGTAAGAAAAAAAGAGAAAAGGCCCAAATAAATAAAATCAGAAATGAAAGAGGGTGACAACCAACACCACAAAAATACAAGGATTATTAGGAAATACCACACATCTTGTCAGTATTCCCAACACACTGTCACTTTATCCACTTTATCTCATTTCAGAAAAGCCCACAAGTGTCAAAAGATTTCACTTATAAACAAAGCACCACTTTACCATTTGAGCAAAGGAAAAAGTTGTTTCTTGGTTATTTTCTATGTAACAATATGTATTTTCTTTTGACCAAAAAAAAAAGCAAACTGTCCTCACAAAAACACAGTATCTCAAAACTTGGGTCCCTCATTCCCAAGCAAAAAATATGTTCATTCACAACATGGAGATACAATGAAATTGCTTAATACATTCTGCAAAAATATAGTAGTTTCTATGGGGCTGCAGCCATGCACCTGTTAATAGACCTGGGGCTACTGTGAGTGGACAGGGTAAGAAGTAAGAAGTCAGCAAGATGAACTCAGTGTGGAGAAGATAAATGATGATCTAAGGACTACCAGGCACTTCAGAATCCACCTGTCATTCTGTTTGACTGCAGCAATCTTTTGAAAGTAATGATCTCTGCTTCGATTTTGCTTTCCAGTTATTCCATGAGTTCCCCTCATTGCCCAATTCTGACCAGACCTAAAGATGAAAAGGGATTCTGGGAAATATATTTCCCAGACTTAGTGATCTTGGTGCCAATTTGACCTCAGAAAATCCAGCACATTCCACATTTCTGTTGACATTTAGTATTGCCAGGCTTAAATTTTAGCCATTCTGGTGGGTATAGTTGTACTTCACTGTATTTTTATGTTAAATTCTTTTCTGGCCAATAATGATGCTGCACAACCTTTTTATGTTTTTGGCTATTCGAATATCCTTTTTCATGAAGTACTTCTTAAGTCTTTCCGCCCATTTTTTAATTAGAGTGTTTTTTTAATTATTGATTTGTATTGAGTTAATTATAAGCCCTGTATAAATATGGGCGTTTGTATATCATATTAATACAAACTCAGCAAATATATTTTTCAAGACAATGACTTGCATTTTCACTCTATTAATGGTGTTCTTAGCTATAATTAAGTTTAACTTTTCTACGTTTTTAAAATTTTTGTTGGTTAGTCCTGTTTAAGAAAAATTTGTCCACTATAAAGCCATAAAAATATCCTCTTATGTTTTATACAATTTTATATTTTGAACTTTTATGTTCGGTTTTAGTTTGAATTAATGTTTATGTATGGTATAAGGTAGATATTGTTTCTTTTTTCATAAAGATATCCAATTAATTCAACTGCACTTATTGAAAAGACCATCATTTTCTTCCTCAAATGGCAGTGACAACATTTTTTTTTTTAATATAAATACAGTAACTGTATGCACATGAGTCTCTTTTTATTCTTGATCTGGTCCTGAGGATGTATATCTATGCTGGTATCAAGTCAAAGCTGTTTCATTATTGTGGCTTTAAAGTAAATTTTGATATTCAGTACTGTCATTTCTCCAAATATTCTTCTTTTTCAATATTGTCATAGCTATTCTAAATCCTATACATTTCTATGTTAATTTTAGAATTACCATGTCACTTTCCAAAAAAAAGTTCTTCTGAAATGTTCATGGATTGTATTGAATCAATAGGTAAATATGACATCACAAAAATATATTGTTCTAATCCAAGGATACGGTCATGTCTCTACTTACTAAGGTTTTCTTTAGTTTTGTTAGCAACTTTTAAAGACTTGATTCCCCAGGAAACAGACTATGAAATCAAGATTAGCATGATGAAGGTGTACTAGGGAACACCCTTCATATTACCTAACTCATGAAAAAGAAGGAAGGAGGCAGGATTGGGCAAAAAAGGAAGTTGGGCTGTGATGCATTCTCGGTGAGGCTTCAATCAGTTACAGATGAAGGTGTGGAGCTGAAATAGACCTTTTGAGTTTCCCCCAGTTAGAGCAAGGCAGCCAGGCCTTTATACTCCCAAATCACTAATCATTGGATATGAGCTGCCATGGAAAGGGAGCATAATCTTGGGTGAATAAATTCTCTTCAATAAAAGCAAAGGCTCACACTTGACAGTTGCTTGTTGGCAGCTCTCTCAGTGACTGAGAGAATAGCCCTTCAGTCCTAAAGTGGAATCTGTGTATCACATTGAGATTCCACCACAATTCAACTTTTTCTCAGCCTAGATCCACTTCATGAAAATGAAGAGAGTCCCTGTTCATCACATCGTTCCCAAGCTGTGACTGCTGGATTTGTCTATTTACCATCAAAATAAGCAACGGATTATAAATGTGTACTTGAGAGTGACAACTGGATGCCAAATGTATTTCTTTGTTTGTCTCTATTGTTTAACAGCAGCCCTACCTTCTCCTGTTAATCAGTCATTTGCTCTTTCCAAGACTGTTTCATATAATAAGATGTTGTGCTGCCTGGTGGTTTTTTATTCTTTAGAGACCAGGTTCTCTAAACCCATGGAACTGAGTTACTCTGGAGAGAAAGCACTCATCTCTCAAGTTGGTCACTGGAAATGATGTTAGTAAACAGGGTCCCTCCTGCTTCTGTCCTTTGTTTACAGACCCATGTATTTTACGAACTGAGGACACAGCACCGTATAGAGGTTATTGATTTAAAACATATGCTACATCTTGGAAGATACCGTCATGTTGTCATAAACATTAACTCTGTGCTGGCTCTCCAATTGTGTTTTCAACCAGCCTTCAGTCCTTTCCATTGCTCTATCTGACCTCTAGCTTTATGTTGCTTCAGTTTGTGACATGACCAGTGGATTCCATGGTCAATCATCCACTCCCTTACCTCTATGCTGGAAAGTGTATCCCTTGGTCTGACATGATGTTTTGTAAGGTTTCATTCTAGTTGATCAAATATTCTCTAAGTCCATGGATATCAGTTCCGGCTTAGGCCTTGTGGGTAGAACAAGCAATTTCATTTCCTCTCTCTTTTTTCTCCTCAAAATGTAAATCAATCTGTATTACTAGAATAAACCCCAAATGGTCATAATGTATTATCCTTTATATATTCCTAGAGCCAATTTTTTTCTATTCTTTATGAGGTTGATATTTACCTTGTTTATGTCTGGAAAAACAGAAAAAATTAGCTTCAGTTTTCAGTATTCTCACCCAAAACACTGAATTTGTATTCAACAGTGTCTTGACTATATCAAAATGATATAGTATGACTTTTGATATGACTTTAGTTTTCTTTCACTCAGCAAATGAGGAAAAAGAAGAAAGTCCAAAAATATAAATTATTAGAAGAGGCAGGAATTTAGTCTCACAGCATCTTTATTCCATTTATGTGGTTCACACGATGTGTATTCCCCAAAGTTGCCTTTACTTGCAGGATAACAGCAAAAGGAAAATAAGTGCACTAACTATATTTTTCCATCTGGTACTTCATTCGTTAGCATACTCTCAATCTTCACTGGATTAGCTAACATCTCACATATAGAAAATTTTAGTTGAGTGCAGTAAGTATAATAAACGCGTGATCCATGTATATATCCACAATACATTTTGCTATTTAAGTCATCTATGTTTCCTGTAAACCTGAAAGAGAAAATGAAAAATTACGTTTGGCAAGTCAAACATTTAAAACATAGTCACCCACACACAAATTACTTTTCTAACATATCATTGCTCCTAGGGTCTGTCTAAAATAAATTTTAATTATTATTGAGAATATCAAGAGTGTCCAGGTTACTCATATTTATTGGCCGATATGCAATGTCAATCACTGCCTTATTTTTCTCTGCCTTTCTCTCT